AGCGTTACATGGCGCAGGTCCCCGAGGACGTGGCGCCCAACTCGGCCGTGCTGCAGGTGACGGCCACCGACCGCGACAAGGGCAGCAACGCCCTGGTGCACTACAGCATCGTGAGCGGTAACACCCGCGGCCACTTCTACATCGACGCGCAGACGGGCGCGCTGGACGTGGTCAGCCCCTTGGACTACGAGGTCAGCAAGGAGTTCACCCTACGCATCCGGGCGCAGGACGGCCCTCTCCAACATCAGTGGCTTGGTCACCATCCAGGTGTTGGATGTCAACGATAACGCCCCCATCTTCGTCAGCACACCCTTCCAGGCCACCGTGCTGGAGAACGTGCCGGTGGGTTACTCTGTCATCCATGTTCAAGCCATTGACGCCGATTCAGGTGACAACGGCCGGCTGGTCTACACCCTCCTGGAGACCGGCGCCGGCTTCCCCTTTGCCATCAATAACAGCACTGGGTGGATTGTGGTGGCCTCCGAGCTGGACCGGGAGGCAGTGGACTTCTACAGCTTCGGGGTGGAGGCGCAGGACCAGGGTAACCCCCCCATGGCCTCCTCAGCCAGGCCTCCTCAGCCAGCGTCAGCGTCACCGTCCTGGACGTCAATGACAACAGCCCCGAGTTCACGCAACGGGAGTACGGCGCCCGCCTGAACGAGGACGCAGCAGTGGGCACCAGCGTCCTCACTGTCTCTGCTGTCGACCGCGATGCCAACAGCGTCATCACCTACCAGATCTCCAGCGGCAACACCCGCAACCGCTTCTCCATCACCAGCCAGAGCGGCGGTGGGCTCATCTCCCTCGCCTTGCCCCTGGACTACAAGCTGGAGCGGCAGTACCTCCTCACCATCGCCGCCTCCGATGGCACCCGCCAGGACACGGCCCAGGTGGTCATCAACGTCACTGACGCCAACACCCACCGACCCGTCTTCCAGAGCTCCCACTACACTGTCAACATTAACGAGGACCGGCCGGTGGGCACCACGGTGGTGGTTATCAGTGCCACAGATGAGGACACGGGGGAGAACGCCCGCATCACCTACCTGATGGAGGACAGCATCCCCCAGTTCCGCATCGCTGCCGAGACGGGGGCTGTCACCACCCAGATGGAGCTGGACTACGAGGACCAGGTGTCCTACACCCTGGCGATCACTGCGCGTGACAATGGCATCCCTCAGAAGTCTGACACCACCTACCTGGAGATCCTGGTGAGCGACGTCAACGACAATGCGCCCCAGTTCCTCCGCGACTCCTACCAGAGCTCCATCTACGAGGACGTGCCCACCTTCACCAGCGTCCTCCAGGTCTCTGCCACCGACCGCGACTCGGGACTCAACGGCAGGGTCTTCTATACCTTCCAAGGAGGTGACGATGGCGACGGTGACTTCATCATCGAATCTACCTCGGGCATCGTCCGCACTTTGCGCCGCCTTGACCGGGAGAACGTGCCGCTCTACTCCCTGCGGGCATTTGCTGTCGACAAGGGGGTCCCGGCCAAGCGGACGCCAGTGGAGATCCAAGTGACGGTGCTGGACGTCAATGACAACCCGCCCGTCTTCGAGCGGGACGAGTTCGACATCTTCGTGGAGGAGAACAGCCCCATTGGGCTGGTGGTGGCCCGGATCACGGCCACCGACCCCGACGAGGGCACCAACGCCCAAATCATGTACCAGATCGTGGAGGGCAACATCCCTGAGGTCTTCCAGCTGGACATCTTCTCCGGCGAGCTCACCGCCTTGGCCGACCTGGACTACGAGTCCAAGGCAGAGTACGTCATGGTGGTACAAGCCACCTCGGCCCCC